GCCCCCACTCCCCTCCCAGAGCTGGGGAGAGAACCCAGGAGTCCTGGCTCCCAGCTCCCCCTACTCTGACCCACCAGCCCCCACCCCCTCCCAGCACCGGGGAGAGAACCCAGGAGTCCTGGCTCCCAGCCCCCCTTGCTCTAACCCACCAGGCCCCACTCCCCTCCCAGAGCTGGGGAGAGAACCCAGGAGTCCGGGCTCCCAGCACTCCCTACTCTAGCTCATTCTAACTTAATCCTGAAGCCCCCCTTGAAGGCTCCTTGCGGCCTCGCTCTGCGTATGTGGCCGTGTGTCTGCAGAGCCTGGCCCCGTCGCTGACTCTGTCTGTCCCGCCCACCCCCAGGCTCCGCGCGCTGTCCAGTGGGGGCAGCGTGGCCTCCCCCCCACCCTCTCCTGCCATGCCAAAGTACAAGCTCGCGGACTATCGCTACGGCAGAGAAGAGATGCTAGCACTTTATGTCAAAGAGAACAAGGTGCGTGTGTGTCCGTGCCCCGAGGCTTCCCGCACGCCGGGCAATGGGGCGGAGCAAGGCTGCCCAGTGGGGTGCTGCAGAGTATTGCTCCTGAGGGCATTCTGCGCCCAAAAAATTAAAAATTCTGCGCCCCCAGAAATCAAAATCCTGCGCACAATATTTAAAAAGTCTGCAAATTTTATTTGGCAAATAAATGTGGAGGCTCCAACTTGACAGTGGGGAGCACAGGCCACTGGCTGCACAGAGGTGGGAGTTCCCCCTGCAGCTCCCACGCCCCCTGGGACACGGACTTGGCGGTGAGGCTGCACCCGATCCAGCCACAGCGCAAGGACCAGCCCGGCCCCAGAAACACCCCGGGGCCCTGCCCCTCTGTGTCAGCTGTGGGCAGGCAGGCTCAGCAAGGCAGGATCCAAGTAGGGGGGGGGTGCATGGGGGTTCTGTGTGGGGCAGTCTGGGTGCGGGCGGCTCAGTGGGGGTTCTGGATGCACAGGGGCTTGTTAGGGGTTCTGGGTGCAGTGGTAATGGGGCTCTGCAGTGGGGGTTCAGGTGAAGGTGGTTGGGGCTGAGTGGGTGTTGGGGGCTTAGTGGGGGGTTCAGATGCAGAGGGAGTGGGGCTCATCCTGGCGGGGGTTCTAAGTGTAGGGGGGTGATGAGGCTCACCATGAGGATCTGGCTATGAGGGAGTCTGGATGCACGGGGGTTGGGCAGACGGGGGAGCAGCTCCCTGTACAGGCTCCCTCCCCCTGCAGTTGAGGAGCGATGGGTGCAGGAAGTGTGGGGTGGGGAGTTTGCAGAGCTTCCTGCAGCCGGGGGAGAAATCTGAGGTGGGTCTGACCCGGCCCCGGATGCCGTGCAGGGAAAGAGGAAGTCCTGTCCTCACCAGCCCAGCCAGGACTAGAAGCTGAGATGGCACAGGATAGGAGCCACCAACCGGGTCCCCAGTCCCGCCCCCTGCCCCACAGTGATTTGCCTCTCTGCCACCTGCCCTGGGCACCCGAAACGTACTGCTGGGGGGCGGGGGGGGGTGTCACATGACCACTCTTGTGGCATCCCTTTGCTTCCCCGTCAAAGTCATTTTTCTGCGGGGAATCAAAGAAATCTGCGGGGGACATAAATTCTGTGCTTGCGCAGGGGTGCAAAATTCCCTCCGGAGTAAAATACACCAGGGCCCATGGGATGTCAGGTGACCAGGGGGCGGGGAATGGGTTGGCATGAGGGCGCCTGGTGTGACCCTGGGGTCCACCTTCGAGGTTCGCAGGGGCGTGTGAGCCCCAAGTGAAAGCCCTGTGTCTTGGGAGGGTGAGGGGGTGACCCTGCCGTGGGGGGGGGAGGGGCGGGGCAGGGGAAGTTCGCTCCCAGCCGCACCCCCCAGCTGCTCTCTCCGCACCCGCCCAGGTCCCGGAGGAGCTCCAGGATAAGGAATTCGCTGCCATTCTCCAGGAAGAGCCACTGCAGCCGCTGGCCCTGGTCCCATTAACGGAGGAGGAGCAGGTAGTGGGGGCGGGGGGGGGGCACCCACTGCTTGTGTCAGGGGCTGCACAAACCCATCCCTCCAACAGAGACAAAGCACCCCCTTATGACTGAGATCCCCAGGGGCAGTCCTGGGGATGGGGCATGGGGTCTTTTCCCTCTAGGGGCGCCGGCTCCCCCCCGGCCCCAGGGCGGGGACTGGCTGGCTCAGGGGGGTGGGGAATGGGGCAGGGGCCTGGCCCCTCTAGGGGGCGCTGGCTCCCACCCGGCCCCAGGGCGGGGACTGGCTGGCTCAGGGGGGTGGGGAATGGGGCAGGGGCCTGTCCCTCTAGGGGCGTCGGCTCCCACCCGGCCCCAGGGCGGGGACTGGCTGGCTCAGGGGGGTGGGGAATGGGGCAGGGGCCTGGCCCCTCTAGGGGGCGCTGGCTCCCACCTGGCCCCAGGGCGGGGACTGGCTGGCTCAGGGGGGTGGGGAATGGGGCAGGGGCCTGGCCCCTCTAGGGGGCGCTGGCTCCCACCTGGCCCCAGGGCGGTGACTGGCTGGCTCGGGGGCGGGGCATGGGGGTACCAGCCCCAATCTGGGGCAGGATCTAGTGATGTCTGTGTGCTAACCCGCCCCCCGGCTCTGTTCCAGAGGAATTTCTCCATGTCTGTGAACAGCGTGGCGGTGCTGAGGCTGATGGGAAAAGGAGGTGGAGCCGCTCCCGCTGGAGTCTCCCGGGGGAGGGGCAGTACCCGGAGCCGAGGTATCTAGGGGGAGATTTGGGGGTCCGGGGCCCAAGATCTGGTTGGGTATGGGGTCGTGGGGATAATAGGAACCAATAAGGGTGGGCTGTGAATGGGAACTGGTGGGGATGGGGCACAGGTGGGTGAATGGGGACTGCGGGCGGGGGGCTCTTCCTGGCTCTCTCCCCGCCCACCCCACTGGCAGGGGGATCGTGGGTGGGGGGCAGGGACGCCCCCCATTTTCAGGCCAGGGTCTCAGCGCTCATTTCCCCCAGGCCGGGGCCGAGGTGAGAGTGGGTTTTACCAAAGAAGTCCGGAGGAGCCAGAGGGGGCGTTCGGGCGTGGGGCCCGGGAGATCCACCGCAGCCAGAGCTGGGACGACCGGTGAGTGTGGGGGGCGTGGGCTGGGGGGGACCCGTGGGGACTGGGGGGCCAGGCTCTGACCTCTCCCCTTCTCTCTCCGGCAGGGGCGAGCGGCGGTTCGAAAAGCCGACCCGGCGGGATGGAAGTAGGTGGCTCCTGGTTGCCTGTGGGGAGAGATTTTGCGGGGGGCTGTAAGGGGGACACCCTGGGGGACCCTAGGACTGGAGGAGGAGGGGGTCCCCACAGTCATGCCCAAGAACACCGACACCTGGAGGAAGAGGGGGCTCTGCCCCCCAGGGAGCTACCCTTCTTCCAGGTGCTCTGCTGGGGGGCGGAGGGGCTCCCCCTTCTCTTAACAGCTGCCCTGTAGGTGGAGCTGACCCCCTGCTGGTTGGATGGGGGGGGAGCGGACATGTGACCCGGCCCCCCACTGATTGCCTCTCCCCCGCAGCCCGGGCTCCCTTCGAGGAGGGGGCTCCACTCCCCCGCAAGGACTACGCCCGCTCGGACAGCAACAACTGGCGGACGCTGCGGGAGGAGCAGGAGGAGGAGGAGGAGGGGGGCGGGGGCACCGGCCCCACCCCCGCCGGGGCGGCCGTGGGGGGCAGCTGGCGGCTGAGTGGGGCCCGGCGCGAGAGTGAGCGCTGGCGGTCGGCCAGCCCAGGTGAGGTCCCCCGTGGGCAGAATGGGGGGGGGGGGAATCTGAGGGCTGTGGGCAGGGCCTGTGGGGGACCTCCCCATAATGGGGTGGTAGGTCTGGCAATAGGACAGACTGGGGGCGGGGCCTTTCGGGGGACCCTCCCCATGGTGGGGTGGTAGGCGGGACCATAGGAGGGCAGGCTGGGGGCGGATCATGGGCAGGTCCTGCCCCCGTTGTGAGTCTGTGGGTGGGGCCGGGAGCACCCCTCGAGGCAGCCTGGCAATGAGGTGCCCCCCCGCTCAGCGTGTGCGCCCCCCCACCCCTCCAGATGGTGCGCCCCGCTCAGCTGGCTGGCGAGAGCACCCTGAGGGCCGGCGCCGCAAGTTCGACTTCGACTTCCGGGAGCGGGAGGAGGAGCGGGGCGGGCGGCGGCACCGGGGCAGCGACAGCTTCGAGGACGACAAGGACGGGCTGCCCGAGTGGTGCATGGACGACGAGGACGAGGAGATGGGCACCTTCGACTCCTCTGGTGCCTTCATGCCCCTCAAGGTACCCGGCTCCCGGCCCCCCCATCCTCCCAGAGCCGGGGAGAGAACCCAGGAGTCCTGGCTCCCGGCCCCCCCTGCTCTAACCCACCAGCCCCACTCCCCTCCCAGAGCCAGGGAGAGAACCCAGGAGTCCTGGCTCCCAGCCCCCCCTGCTCTAATCACCAGCCCACACTCCCTTCCCAGAGCCAGGGAGAGAACCCAGGAGTCCTGGCTCCCAGCCCGCCCCCGCTCTAATCCCCCAGCCCCCACTCCCCACAGTGTGTCTTTCCTATCCATGGAGCAGTGGTGACACCTGGTGGCCAG